CAGGAAGTTTATGCAAAAGCATGCAAATACATTTTTTGCGTATAATAATATGTATTGCTTTATTATTAAATATCTACTCATTTACAAGAATTATTAAAATTAGTAAAAAAAAGTATTCAAGTCTCTGTCTAGTTTAATATCTTACCTTATTAAAATAATAAGTTTAATCAATTATGTAGTTAGCAAACAATGACGTTTAATTTATACTTAGTAAGGTTCACGGCATTAACTTTTCACATTGCATGTTTAATTCGGAGTTATAATTTGAGAATATAATTCACCCGTATATTTATTTTTGTAGTTTAGTAGTACTTCAGCAAATTTAGAAAACTGTATGTTATTTAAAAATACGTGACAAATCACGAGGACAGGCAATCTAGAGATCTGACTGTTGGTTTGCGCGGGAAATACTGCATACTTTTTAGAAAAAAGGAGTCTATGATAAGCGCACGTAGGAGATGATAGACAGAGAGCTAATATATAGAGCTAATGTATTGGAAAGAAATAGGACAAGTTTACGTGCGCACACCACAGTCTCCCTTTCTTCTCTAAACAGTTTGGGATCATACCATAGTATCATAAATAATAATTGACAAAGAGTTCGCAAAGGAATCCAACGGAAATATTTATACAATTGTTTACAACTACCAGTACAAATAATTCTTTCATTTTCAACTGAAAAGCGTATAACTATATTAAGTACTAGATATTATGGAGTTAGGGGTAATCAAATAGATTTGGGTTGCAGTCAACATAATTATCTTTGATACAAAAGACATGGAAACGAATGATTTATTTTCAAATCCAAATATACTGCATTTACAGTTTTAAACAGTATCACTGCTAATTTTCTCTGGTTGCCCGACAATAGCTACTTGTAGTCAATATCCACGTAATGTAATAAAATACTGGAATCTAATTGTTTGAGACAATTTTTACCCGAGTGTTCTTTATCAGTTTGAATATTTTATATGAAAAAATTACATATTAAGCTACAATTTTAGTAGGACTGCAGCGAGTCAACGAGCCGCCATTACTCCGCCAATGCAAAGAAAATATCATTTTATTATCCTTTGTAAAAATAATTCCTTTCTGTAAAACACATTTAAATTTGGTACTCCGTATTTCGTTCACAATTCACCATTTAACAATGGAAATTAACAATGCAATATTTGGATTCTACAATTTTTAGGTAAAATGAATGACTGCAATGCGTTTTATCAAATGTAGATTTTATATAAAAATAAAGAAAAATAAGTCTCTTTATTTTAAAAATATTTAGAAAAAATCGAATCAAAACATCAATAACTTAACATTCATTGTTCGTTATACTTAGTTAACTACTTCACCACGCGATTTCTAATATCGTTTCAATTTTTCATTTATTTCACATTATTAGTCCTTGCCGTATTACTTGTTCTGCGCGTGAAGTTGATTAAGAAATCTTAATCTTAATTATCTCTGAAAAATGTATTTATTATTATCTGTAATTATTGATGTGGAAATATCATTTCCACAATTACGAGTACAGGTATGCAGCATTATGAATTTTGTTGACTAAAATTTTAGAGAAAATAAGTTCAATCATTTCCGAGAAATCATTAAATAAAAATATTACTGTTAAGTAAAAAATTAAATTATTTGTTTAACGAGCAACAAATCTATTTGAAATTTTAATTTGTAAAATTTCGAATCTAATAATTTGAAACTCAATCTTTCTTAAAAAAAAAATCGAAAATATTTGTAACATCTATAACAACAGAAAAAGAGTTGCACAAATTACAGTTGCTTTTTTTTAATTTCAGATTCATCAAAATTGTTAAGTCTCTTTTTTATTTATTTCACATTATTCTTATTGTTCTGCGCATGAAGTTGAATACGATTTCTTTCCCAACCCCAAACCTAACGCTGAAAAGCAAAACAGCAAGGAAGTACGTAAAAACGGATAACGGTACTGTATCGATTTCTGCTTGGACATGCGGCAAATCAGCACTGAATCTAAACTATGTTTCGCTTCGCCCAAGTGCGACATGCGGCAAATCTGCACCAAACAGTAGAGGCGAAAATCCCTCGGACGCGATCTGGATATGCGGCAAACCAGTTCTAAGGTGACGTACAAGGAAAAAAGTGCAACTGGTGGCAGGGAATAAAACCCGATTATTGTTAATTCCCCCGTATTATTTTATTTCTTGTTTCCGCAGGCACTCACCAGACCACCTGAAGATCCGTGGCTCCGGCTTTAGACCAACCCCGGTACTCTATTCTCGGAGAGGGAGCTGGTGCCCGAACACCGCCGCTCCCACGCGTTATCGGCGAAATTCCGGACCGTCATCGTGCATCACCGGAATTTCGTCACAAACTCGATCAATTTTGGTTCCCTTTGATCAGTTTGGGTTTCCTCTAAATGCGTACACAAGAAAATGATATCCACAAATTTAAAAAACAAAAAACAAAATTCCACACCACAACTGTTTTTAATACTTCTCAATAATTCAGGTGTTCTCATTCCAGGGTCTCCATTTACCACATTCATGTAGTTAGGTTTACTATTATAAAAAGTTCTTTCTTCGATAGGTAGCGATTCAGTTTCTCCGTCTGTGAGATTTCTTTTTCCACGGTTTCCTGTTGGAGCCTATGGCTCTGTGCCAGAGGGTCCTGGTTGGGTTGGTCCCTTTCGTGGAGTACTACCCTTTGGTCCCTCTGACCTTTTATTTTGTGGTCCTGGTTGGCCCGCGATTGATGCTGAGACCATTTTATGAGTTCAGGCAGCTATTTCATGTGCCTTTCGGTCCCCCTTTTGTCCGTCCCATGGTACATAGGTCCCATCAGTACGGGAGAAATGGATTTAACTACTGTAGAGCTCTGTTTGCGACAGATAGGGGATAAGTTACAATCGGAGATTTTCTCGTATCCGAAGGTTATCGTTGTCAGGGTCATTCATCCTCTGGACACGGTAGATCTCACCACAAGATTTCCATTGCACTTAGAGGACTTTTACCTCACGCGACATCAGATGGTCGCGGTATTCTTCGTAATCTCTTAATGTTTAAAATTAAAAAAAATGTTCAACGGTTATTTCTACAGAACTACGCCTGAAGTATAAGCTAACAAATCCTGCTTCTTTGAACAATTATGCAACAAGATTTTGCGACATTTTATTTGCGACAACCTATCTACATAAAAAAAATATAGATTAAAGCACTAACAGTGTTTAAGAAAAAAAGAAAGGTCCATGATGCGGAATCGAATGGGCAGTCGGTACTTTTAACGGAATATGACTATTCCGTGGTACTTGTTGCTTATAATAATAAAAAAAAAACAAGGCGAATTTATATACCAGTTTAAGAGTATGTTATATTATAAAATTTAAATCGCGTTTTTTAAAAAAATTTGAGGAGATGTCATCAAATTGTTACTGGGGATAATTAACATACGACAATAATAATTAATCTAGCATTTGCAGAGATTATCTGTCGCATATAAAAATCGACACAGACGGCAGATGACAAACGGCAGATAGACAGAGAGACAGACGGAAACGGGGATCTGTTGCCGCATATTCTAGAGGTTCAGAAAACATAAAACTAGCAATTTGGCGGATGGACCCTATTACATACTCTTCTACTCTCAAAAACCAAAAAAAAAATCAAAAGACGAACAGCATGTTTTTCTTTAGTTTTGAGTAAAATGTTTTATAAACATTGATACAAACATTTTATGAAATGACGTTATCAAATTCAATCACGAGACCAAGCTTAATGTCACAAGAGAAGTATGTCACAATATGTATAACTTGTAAGCGACATTTACTTAACATAAATGAAATTAAAGATAAATTTAATCAGCATTGTAAGTACAATCTACTAAAATTGGCAACAACCCGATAGATGGCGATTACGAAGACAGACAGACGCAAATCGGACATCGATAATCTAAAAGGTGGGTAGTGTCAAGAGGACATAAAATTTCCAACACGACTTTATTATTTCGAGTTTTAATCTAATAATGTATATAGTTTTCCAGATTCTCTAATTAATAAGGCAAACCCACAATTGTAGTATATCTTTTCTTTGATTTATGACGGTGACTGGGCGCAAAAAGGGATCATTATTTCCCATTATTGGGTGGTTTAGTGGGGCCATATAACCTTAGAGAATCTGGAATACTATACATACTTTAACATTGACTGTGCATTAGTGCAACCAGTTATTAGAGCATAGTTAGTAAAAGAACAATTTATTTGATTAGGATATTTACTGTTTCAAAATTGAACGAATCGTAAAAATTATTACTCCATTATTATTGTTGAAAAAAAAGCAACTTTAATAATTACTATTTTTAGTTCTTTTCATTCAGTTTCGGAGAGAACGGCCAGTTTAACATTCATGATCCTTAATGTAATAAAGCAATCCCACGTCCAATTTTTATTAGATTAGATGTCATAAACAACAAAAGACGATAAAACGTAACATTAATTTTAATGCTGGCACATGACTTTAAATCGTTTGTTTTGAAAAAGTACATTACTTGAGCAATTGTAACACAAAACATATGACTTGATAAAGAAGAATGTTGTAATGCTATAAATTAAAAAATATATGCAGATATTTTTAACCACGGAGTCAAAAATGCAGATATATTTATTTGTATATATGTTTATGGATATATATTTTTTTTCCCTTAGTACAGAAATTATATTACTATTCCAGTTTGTTCGCACTTCCCGCACGCAACATATTCGCTCAATTAAGAATGCAGTTAATAAACCCCATCACTCGTTCATTACTTAATAAAAAGTTATGTAGTACATGAATCAGTCAATATTCCTACTGATTAGCGCATATTACAACCAACTACTTAAACAAAAAATACTCGAATTACAATCAACAATCACGATAAAGCGAGATAAAGCAAGTATGCAAACAAATTCGTGAGTTTTCGTCCAAACACGAAAATATTTTTAAAATTAATATATACGTCACGAGCTGATAATCAACAATTAATAGTTTCTACAAATAAACTAGGGTCAGAGTGGTGATGATAGAATAAACACGTTCAATCACAGTCAATTTATCCAGCGCAGAACGAACACCATTTCGATGAACTCGTAAACACGAACATGTGGAGGCTCAGAAATGCATTTCGAACTAAAAATTTTCCAAAATTACCTCAAACCGCGTACTACGCCACCGAAAGCGGCCTTCCCAACCAGGCGGATGTCGTAGTCATTGGTAAGTTTTTCAAATTTGCTTTATTTTTATTTTTTGGAAGTGTTGTGTGTGCAGTTTCGAAATTAACATTATTATTGATAAACAACCCAAACAACGGACAAAATACATGTCAAAATACGTTTGGTAACAAGCTGATGTAAGTAATTATAATTTTAATTTTACAAATCTTAATATTGGCTACTGGAAAAAATGCACACTTTTTTTATTCACTTATACTCAATATGGTTTAACTTTTTTTTTTAATTTTTGACAACAGGTGGCGGCGTTGCCGGTTGCAGCCTTCTGTACCACTTGTGTAAAAGGGGTATCAATGCCGTTTTACTCGAAAAAGACAAAATCACTAGTGGTACCACATGGCATACTAGCGCCCTTTGCTGGAGGCTGAGGCCTGGTGACGTCGATGTGAGACTTTTGGAATCTACGAGGAAGCTTCTTATGAGTTTGGAGCAGGAAACGGGGCTCAATACCGGGTGGATTAATAACGGAGGACTCTTTATTGCTAAATCAGAGGTAACAAAGAGTTGTATTATTTCAGAAATCGAATAGGAAGTATTATACGAGCAATTAGGAAGTGTTCAGTTGTTGACAAATCGTAATTTAAATGCCGGTCGCTCGTGATCTTTGGAATTTAAATGTCAAGAGTGTTTCGGTGCGAGTTTGTTGTCTTGTTTGTTTTGTCAATGTCAAGCGATAAAAGTATTTTGTTTACGTTTCCAGTGTATTATATAGTACTTACAGAATCACTCTGTAGTGACTAAAGCATTTTAAATGCAATATGTTCAAACGAAGGTCTAGTTATATTTTTATCCACATATAATGTAGCAGGAAGACAATAAATTGACATTTACATTTTCTTGTTGCATATTTTATTACATATAATTACATACTATTATACTGAACATAAAAAAGCTTCCGACTGTTTGTAGTGGCCTAAGGAAAGTAGTTTCGTTTAGAAAATCATTTTGTTAATTTCTAACAAGTAGTGTTATCATATCTATGCAAGAGTTACTAGTTTGGTATCGAAATTCAACGAAACAAATATTTCGTCTATTGAACTTTAAAAGTAATCTTCATCAGGGTCATGTATTTTTAAACAAATACTGTTATCACACGGCATTTTGGGATTACGTGCAGATGTAAAAATAAGCAGAGTATGAAAAGGCATCACTAAAAACTATAACGATTAGATAAATATTGATATAAAATCAACACAAGTGATGCTTCATTAAAATATAGTAACAAGCACTAACAATTGATAAGGTTCATTTTCGATTATAACTACGAAGCATATAGGTAGGTATAGGGAGCGATGAAATTTGCTTTTAAAAATTTATTTAAAAATTGAATATATTTCAAAATTCAAGTTCAAAATAATGATTTTTTTCTGTAAAATTACACATTTCTACGTATACCTATAGAAATGACAGAATCGTAAATTTTTTGAATGGGTTATTTTAAGATAATTTACAAAACTGATTTTTTTTGTTATTTTAGATGTGTAAAAATATGTGAGGCTGCTGTACAAAGAAACGTATCGCACAATTGTTCTAATTTTTAATACAGGTTGTATATGAAAAATTGTTTTATCAACAGAACTTCCCTCGCTCCTGAAGTACAAGTCCAACTCTTCTTTGAAAAATTATAAAATTAGATTTTGCGATGTTTGTACAGTTGTAACATTACTGCATATTCATATTTTCGGGAAAATACGGTCAGCTATTTTTGATTTGGTCAATAAAATAATGCCTCCTCCATTCTTTTTTTTGAGTCACCCTGTAGACGTAATTCTAAAAATTACGAATGCATTGATAAATCAGAAGTATAAATTCATAATATTTTGCATATTTTAGACAGGATTTATTCAGCAAAGTTTGAGATAACGTCATCAATTTTTTGGGAGGGTGTAAACGCATAAATTTTGATTGACGACATCAGGCTTAACCTTAAAACCTTTGCAAGGTTTCAGATCATTCGGTTTTGCAGTTTCAAAATTAAATTCCAAAATGTTGTTATACGACTTTGATTTTTTTCCAAAAATCTGGATGTCTAGGATAAAAACTTCCCATAGATTCATAAAGCACAAGTGTAAAAAATTAAATACGATTTACCATTGTATTTTGGAGATGATGTCATGCCGTTGTTGGTTGGGATGCTTAGCCATATGGTGTCTTGACAACAATCGGTCTTAATTTTATAACTTTTCGAAGAATTTGTGTTTGTTCACCTGTACATCGGGTATCAGGGGCGAGAGAAGTTAAAATGAGGATAATTTCCACCGCAAGGCATATATACTTACCATTAAATCTAGTTTGTTTATCTTCAAGTTTATTGCCGAAATCTATTTTTTTTGACTTCTGTTAAAATGTGAACAAAATTACATAAATTTTAGAAGTAGCGAAACATGTTTTCTGTTTCAAAATAACATATTTTATAAAACATCCCTGCACATGTTTCGGTACCTTCATTATGCAGATCATGATCATCGGATATGAATTTTTGTAGGAACAGTTATTTTCTACATTAGTTGAGTTATCACGAATGATGTACTATACCGAATATTTCATCATTTAGGATTTGCTGAACCAGTTAGGTAACAGCTAAATACTTCACGTTATTCTTTTGGTAAACATACATTATTTTTAAACAGCTGAAACCCATTTTTTCAAAATTAGAATGCGTTTTTGGAAGATGATGCAATTTTATGATTAATTAGATAACCAGCCTTAAAACTCAAGGATATTTAATAAAGTGCTTTGTTTATTATGCATTTCTTCATGTTTTTTTATCTCACTTCGACTTCGACCTAAGTTACAAAGTGATAAAAAATCAGAAATTTGTTTATCTGTTGTGAAAATGTGCCTTTTTATATCCATATCTCTTCTTTTTTTCCTTTTTTATATATATCTACATATATTTTCTTTAAATTAGTTGTATCACGATAATTTCATTTTTAGTTATAAGTACTTTATGTAGTTGCATTTTCTTTATCCTTCTTTACGAATATATTCATTTGATATTGACTTATGTAAAACTGTAATCTATACAGATTTTAACATTAATAAAATCATTATTGTTATTATATATTTTGAAGATATTCCTTTTACAGACAAAATAAAAAAAAATTAAACCATTGCTGTAATTTTTATTTCTAAATTTTTAATTTCAAGTGTTGTAAGAAATGAATCATTATTTGTCACTGATTATGTAGTCTGTATCGTTTATTAGATATACTTTGCCCACGAGACAAACATGTGATTAAAAAAAATTAAAGCAGGTTTTTTGTCATTACCATCAACTAAGACATTGGTTTTAGTATGATTTAATTAAGATCATCTGCAATAGATAAGGTTATCATGATTATCTATTATCTAATTTACCTACTTAATTTAAGTGCACAGTTTATAACTATTATCCAAATTTTGAATTGAGGACGATTTTTTGCTAAAGTTTCTGCATATATGTATATTGATTTCATTTATTTCACAATAAACTACATGTTTTAATTTAACTGTAATATTAAATTTTTGTTCTTTTTTCATATCCGTTATTAGAATTCATTAGTTTGCTATAACTGTGCAGTAGGGGCGATAATCAATTCCGCTCCAAGGTCATATTTCGTTGCAGTGGTACCTGGGGTGCCCTATCCCCCGATCAATTGATAAGAACAGTGATTGCAAAGTTTGCATAATTTTAACTGTCCCTTTTAAGTTTAAAGTCCATGCAAATAGATGCTTAAGTGAAACTAAATAGTACAGAAAGCAGACGTAGTAACTAAAGAAGTTAGATAACGGCAGAATTTCATATCGCAAAAAATTTTGCAATATAATCAAAAATTGCATTATCATTAATGACAATTTGCAGCTAAATTCTGCACAATCTGCAAAATTTAGTCACCATGTGAACACTAATATCTATTGCTTACTGGATTTTCTAATCCAAAATGAATTGAATGTGTTCCCGCTTATATAATAACAACCACATAGATATTTACCGGATCGGAGTTAATGCCATATCTTAAGACCAATCGCTACGTTTTATGAGTGGAATTTTTGGTCTGTTTTCAGAATGTAATATCTTCGTTTTTAACAGATCTATGGTTTTGAAATTTTTTTGAATATGTATATGTTGTCCATAACTTTCTTTATACATTTAACGCAGGGGCAATTTTGTTAAAAACAGTTTGTGACACTGTTTTCAGCTTACAAAATTCCAGAAATCATATCAGATAAGTATATCGTCGATTTTTTTTTGTTAGAAACGATACACAGTAAAAAAAAGCTTGTGTCATAGAAGTTGCTAACTTTTATTTTTACTATATCTGAGTCCCAACAAATAAAGCCAAAAATAGACCTAGTACGATTTCTAAAGTTTTGCAAGTTGAAAACAATGGTGACAACCCCGTTCCAAAATTTCCGTAAATATCTGAAATATTGATTTTTTAAAACACGTAAATACGTGAAGCAAAAATTTCAACAAAACTTAAAAAATATATGATAATAAATTGTTAAAAAAAACTGCCCTCACAGTAATGTAGTGAAAGTTGTGGACAAGTTACACCTAAAATTTCATAACCATAGTGTGTTAATATTGGAGAATATATTGACAACACCATAAGAGCCAAACGTAGCGACTCCTCTTAATGAGCGAAGATGTCCGCAGACCAGAGATACGGTGCCGGATTAGTCAACGCCCTGCATTATACAGTTACAGTTTATTTTTATACACAGTTTTACATATAATCACAAATATGTGAATATTAATATTCAAATAAAACAATTTTTTATCGACTAAGAACAAAGATTCAATTAATGTTTCTATAAACTAGGTATTTGTTGTAACATACAAATTGTTACTTAGAATTTACAAAAAAAAAAAATGATAAAAACTCCACTCACTATGCAGCTGATTTTTGTTATGTTTCAAGGTCATCTTATAAAGATAATCAAAAGCAATTGAAAAAGTGTCAAACTGATTGATAGAGATTTTATCTGACTTATTACGTTTTAATAAATGTAAAAATTCTGAAGTTGAGTTTTCCTACAGTTTTAACGTTTTCAGGGTATCTATACTATTTTCAGCGATTACAAAAGATGTACCTACATGTACAACTAAATTTCGTATCGTTTCAGCGACGCATTGAAGAATACAAACGTCTTCACACATTCGGACACTTTTTCAATATCGAAAGCCACGTAATATCTCCTAATGAAGCCGCAAAATTATCTCCAATACTCGATCCGAAGAAATTTAAGGCCGCTTTATATTCACCAGGAGATGGTTACACTGACCCTTCAATGTACTGTGCTGCATTAATAAAAGGCGCTACTACTAGAGGGGGCCAGGTACTGTGCCTACATTCAGAGACACATAAAACAAATTTATAAATTTCAGGTTATAGAAAACTGCCCGGTAAGCAATATTCTCGTAGATTCATCTACCGAAGTAAGGAAAGTGCAAGGAGTCGAAACAGCAAAAGGCACCATCAAGACAAGTTGCGTAGTTAACGCCGCCGGTGTCTGGTCAAAAAATATAGCTCAACTTGTTGGTTTGGAGATCCCCCTCGTGGCCATGAAACACGCGTATATAATAACCGATAACATACCGGAAGTAAAACATTCGCCAAATATTCGAGATCATGATGGATCGATATATATGAGAATGCAGGGAGAAAGCATATATCTGGGAGGGTACGAAACCAACCCAGAAATCATCAAAGACATGCCTACAGATTTTCAATTCAGTCTGTTCGATTTGGACAAGAGCATCTTCGAAGTACACGTAAAGAATGCTGCTGATATAGCTCCTGTATTTGAACATGTCCCCATCAAATCTGATATTTGTGGGGCCGAATCGTTCACCCCTGACCATAAACCCCTCATGGGTGAAGACCCCAAGCTTGCAGGTCCAGCCTACTACTCATTTGTCGCTTTTAGAAACTAATGTATTTTTCCAGGTTTCTTCTATTCGTGTGGTTATAATAGTCTAGGTATGAACCTAAGCGGCGGCTGTGCTGAACAATTAGCCATTTGGATCTCACAAGGTCGGCCAGAATTACCCATGTTTACATATGATATAAGAAGATTCACGCCCAACCAAAGATCGAATAGGGCTTGGGTAACCGAAACTAGTCAAGAATGTTATGCTAAAAATTATAGTATTGTTTTTCCACACGATCAACCTCTAGCTGGAAGAAACCACAAAATTGATCCTTTCCATGAGGTGAGAGGTCCGTTGATTGTTATCGAAGTAGCTACTTGCACATTTTAAGAAGTAATCTTGTTTTCATGTTTGTGGGGTTAAAGTCTTTAATAGATAAAGAAGAATCTAAATAAAATTGCAAAGTTTTTATCGAAGGTCGTATGATTGGGATGTCATTAGATAACACTTTGGTATAACTTGTTAGAAACAAGCTGGATTTGTTGATCTTATTTTTAGTTACGAAGTTATGCATTTTTTGTTTTTTTACAGTAAGGAAAATTTCTTCTCATAACGGCCCAAATAATCCGTCTGGTAATTTCTTAAATTTTTACTTTAGTTGGCAATGACTCTTACATTAGCCGTTCCAACTGCACTACTGACGTACGCGTTATGGCCAACTAGTACAGAAATTTAAAAAATCACTTGACATTAATTGCTTGCGGAAATTTAAATAGTTAAAATTATGAACACATTAATTTTTGCGTTCTAACTTTTTACCATATTGATAAAAGTATTTTTTTTTCAAATTTTGCTAATATCAAAGCTGACTTAAGGATGGATAAAAACCTATATTCTTACATCTTGTTCTGAAACTTGATCACAATTTGCTTTGAAGTACACATTTTACATTTTAATCACTGAAAAATCTATTAATGTGCAGTATTTCAGCTAATAATACATTTCTATGTAGGCTTTAGTAGCGAGCGGAGCCGTCATGGAGGAAGCCCAAGGCTGGGAAAGACCTGGCTACTTCATCAAAGACCGAACGGCCCCTGTACGAGGCTATGACTGGTACGGCTACTACGATCATGTAGACAATCCCGATAAACGGTACGAGCAAGAACTGGAGGGCGAATATACTTTCGGATTCTCAAAACATCATGATCTGGTTTGTACAGTACCTCTTCGATGAATACGTTTAATATTGCTTTCCTTTATACAGATCGGAGAAGAGGCCAATGCAGCTCGAAATAATGTAGCGGTTTTCGATCTTTCTTACTTCACAAAGATGTACTTAACAGGTCCTGATGCTGAAGAAGCAGCTGATTGGTTGTTCACCGCAGATACCGACAAGGAACCTGGACGCGTGGTATACACTTGCGCTTTGAACAGCAAAGGAGGTGTCGAAACTGACGTTACGGTAACACCGTTGGAAGAAGGTGTAGGAACACTTGTTGGACCAATTTTGAAGGTAACAATTTACAAATGTAGAGAATTTTTTTAACTGTGATGTCTTTAGGGCAAAGGATACTATATCGTCGCAGGTGGGGCCTCAGGGTACCAGACAGTGTCTCATTTCCGGAAAGAATTGAATAAGAAGAGGTTCAAGGCTGTTATAAGCGATATTACAGACAAGCTAGGTGTGTTGTCGATTCAGGGACCAAAAAGGTAGTGGAATCTTTCAATGTACAATCAGCCTTATTGTGTAAAAATTGTCTTATTGTAGTCGAGAACTTTTGCAATCCATCACCGAAACCCCAATCACAGACGAGAAATTCCCTCCAAGCATGTCGCACATTATCCACGTGAACGGACACGTGTGTCGCGCCATGAGAATAAGTTTCATTGGAGAACTAGGTTACGAATTGCACATTCCTTATGCTGCTTGTGTCCCTGTATACAACAAAGTAATGGATGCGGGAAGAGGTTTCGATTTGAGACATGCCGGATTCAGAGCTTTGTATTCTTTGAGTCTCGAGAAAGGGTACCACTTGTGGAACTACGATCTTAGAATTGACGACAATCCAGTCGAGGGCAACTTACAGGCGTTTTGTCGTAAGGATGGTCAATACTTGGGGAAACAACACGTGGAGAAGTTAAAGCAACACGGTGTGAAGAAACGAAGGGTTTTCTTCACGTTAGAAGACCATGTGGCGGTGTACGGTTTAGAAACTATTTGGAGGGATGATGCCATTGTGGGATATTTAAGAAGAGGTGATTATGGATATCATTTAGATTGCAGCATTGGTGTCGGATACGTGGAACATCCCACTGGGCAAATACTTACTGATGAGTTTTTGAAGACCGGCAATTATGAGATAGAAGTTTTGAATAAGAGGTATCCGGCGACTTTGTATTTGAGGAGTCCTTTTGATCCTAAAGGGCAGAGGTTGTTGGGACAATACGAACAGCAGTTCGAAGAGCAAGCGCATTTTGAAGACTGATGTGTTCATACTTTTTGTTGATATTTTATAAGAGAAACGAATAAAAATTTATTTTCTTTATTTATTGCTTTACTGAATAAGAAGGTAAGCAATGCTTGAGCTGAACGATAAAAATTCAAAAGCTTAAGCATATACGAAAGATTGGTATTGTATCTTTAATTTTATTTGTCGATAGACAATTGAAGGAAGTATTGCAACTGAAATATTTTTTATAAGTTGTCCTGCCCAAATTGTTTTTTAACGCGGCCGAGCATTTGCACACTAACAAAATTATTTATTTTAATTTTAATAATGCTATTGAAATATAAAATCACAAACATGATTAATGAGAAATGATTAAATACCTACATATGTACGAGGCAAAAGCATAAAATAAAACATAGGGGTAACCTTATACCGCCTGTCTGGAAAATGGCGGATTAACTCTTCAGTATGTTATACACGAGGGTTTCGGGAGTCCCAAAAAAATAATAAAAAAATTCTTTATGATGTACATTACGAAAAAAACGTAATTTGACAAAAGTAAAATTGGCAACACTGCACACCCTTAATGCGTGAATACGTCCAGCTTACTTTCGGGTTTCTTAGTAACGATGGTGACTTAAATCCACCTTCGCTTTATATCAAGCAAACATTGTTGTCAAATGGAATTTTATCAAATTATTACAAAAACAACACAGCCATATCTTTGTGCAATCTAACTGAAATGGTAATTAAACATGGTCATGGGCGAGAAAAATATTAACTAAAAGTTTTATTACTAGTTATGGTGATAATGAATGAGCTGTTTAGTTGTTAAACGTAGCAAAAGAACCAATTTTAAAATCATTATAACTCCACCAAAATGTGAGAAGGATTCTTTTTACTATTTTTCCCAGACTCACCAGTTGATTGTTAAGAGCGTAGCGGAGAGTTAATCCGCCATTTTCCAGACACCCGGTATAACTAAAACGTGCATAAATATGATAAAAGCGTTTTTTTTTTCAGCAGTTGCTTTCCAGTATACAAAAATAACTTACGAAACCCAATAAAACTAATTAAAAAATCCAATACATAAATACATAAACCTGATGCAATCAAAAACCTGAGACTAAATTTATCAGTCACTAAATATATGTGATACCTCTTAATTAAATTAAATTTTAATAATAAAACCTCGAAAACAACAACAATAGAAAACACCAGAAACTGGGACGCCAACAACAATTGTAAATATGTAGTTTTGTATAAATAAGTTAGGTTGTTTTGAATAAATCAGTATTAAGCTTTATTGTTAAAGTTAAGTGTGGAGTGAGTGAGTGAATCTCGCGATTATTTCTGCTCCGCTTTCTTTTGAATTTCGATGGTGTTATAAGACGATAAATTTTTATATAAACACATCATAGTATTCCGTAAGTTTTGCTTTTTATTGTGATATAACTCATTGTTAGACAGGCAAAGCTGAAGTGTTTAAATTAATGCAATTTGTGACCACTTATGCTATTTTACGCTATCTTTTAAGTGGCCTGAACACTTTTTACAAGTAGTTAGAATCTTTTTTGCGTCTGCGTACTTTATTAATTTTTATTCAACTCAATATTAAATATTGTCGGATTGTTGCAATTCCTATAAGGCAGAGGTGTGATTTTAGCACCTTATTTGCATATCCACTCACTATATATATTTTTTTTTCTTTCTCATTACTAAAATGACTGTTCTATGTAAAATCTGTAATGGAGCAGTAACTCCTACTGTACCTGCAATTAAATGTAGCTCGTGTGCTATTTACTTCCATATTAAATGTATAGGTATTGATAAAGCCCATTTTGATATAATTAAATCTTTAAATGGAGTCTCCTGGAAATGTGATAACTGTCGCTCATTAAATAATACCATCGAGGCAGGACAGTGCAATTGTTGTAAATTACTTCCAAATTTAGTTGAAACTATTAACAAACTTAGTGAAACCGTTAATACATTGCAGCAGCAACTCCTTAATTTTCATTCTGATAGATCCAACGAAGAAACCATCATTCAGGAGGTTAATGAAAGGCATAAACGGGCTAAAAACATAATTATTTTTGGCAGTGCCGAAAAGGCTGATGTGTCGATTGACGAGCAAATTGAACAAGATCGCTTATTCATTCATCAGATCCTTGAACAACTAAATTTACCAGTTCAACCTAATGAATTGAATGTCCATAGAATCGGTAGACGCAATCTTGTAAATCTACGTCTAAGGCCTATCAGAATTACGCTTAAATCCGAATCCGACGCTCATATGATTGTCAGAAAATTTCAAAATCTACGCAATATAGATCTCTACAAAAATATTTCAATGAATTATGACAAAACGCCCAAGCAGATTGCGTATTATAAATCTGTGAAGCAAGAATTGACAGATAGAATTAGTCGTGGTGAAGCAAATTTAAAAATTAAATATATTAATGGCACACCAAAAATAGTGACTTTAAACTAGCTTGCTCACTCAGTTATGATGGTAAATTCTTACAGTGCTATTATCAGAATGTTAGAGGTTTATATTCTAAATCTGTTGAATTTTTTAATTCTGTATCATCCAATTATTTTGATTTTATAGCTGTTTCTGAAACTTGGTTAAAGCCAGATATTTGACAATCAACTTTTCCCACATAATTTTGTTGTACATCGTAATGATCGTAATTTAGCTGAACTTGGTTTGTCCAAAGGTGGTGGTGTACTTTTAGCAGTCAGTAATCAATATAACTCTACGAAGTTAGATCTTTCGTCCCTTACAAGCTTGGTTCCTATTGTAGATATTGTAGGTGTTAAAATCACCGGTAAATTTAGTCAAAAATTACTAATCTTTGTTTTATATCTACCACCATCAATTACTCTAGCAGAATTTGAGTTATTTTTTGAAACATTCATAAATCTAGATTTTATACAGAATGAAAAATTAATAATTCTGGGCGACTTTAATACGCCTGATTTTATCCTTAATCTTAAAACTAATTCAAACTTAGTGTTAAATAATTTTAAAGAATTCTATAATATTTCACAGCACAATAATATAAGTAATAGTATGGGTCGGCTTCTAGACTTGGTTTTTTCTAACTTGCAGTGTAGTGTCACAAAATCTGAAGATCCGGTTGTAAAAGAAGATTCTCTTCACCCAGCGCTTATTGTTGAATTCTCCTTAACTGATAAAATGTTTAAAGAATTTTGTATGAACTCACAGTCTAAATCTTTCAACTTCAAAAAAGCGAACTATCCATTAATGTATGATCTACTCTCGAAAATTGATTGGTCTTTTCTTGATGATATATCTGATGTCAATACTGCTTGCGAATTACTTTATAAAACGATTTATGAAATTTTTGAGTGTACTATCCCCAAATTTCTTTTCAAAAGTTATCATCATAAATATTATCCTCCTTGGTTTAACACTGAAATCCTAAATTGTATTCGTAATAAATCTTTAGCTCATCACAAGTACATATAGCATAAATCTACACATTATTACAATATTTTTAAATACTATCGATCTCAACTAAAAAGAATGATTAAGAATGCATAAAAAAATTATATGTCAAATATCGAGGATAAACTGCATATAGATCCAAAAAAATTTTGGGAGTATATTAACAACAAAAAAGGCCATTTGAGAATCCCCGGCTTAATGAAATAAGTATAATAATGAAAAACTCGACACTCCGAATACAATTGTTGAAGGTTTCGCAAATTATTTTAATGGAGTCTACAAAAATTCTAATTCCAACACAACTGCCAACAACTATGAAATCAATCCATCGCTACTAGTGAATATCAATAATATTTCACAAAAAGAAATTTTATCTGCTTTAAAAAGTTGTAAAAATTCGCTTACAATGGGACCTGATGGCATTCCATGTTTTCTGTTACGAGACTGTGCGCATATTTTTGTACATCCTTGCTTCCGGTTATTTCATAAAATATCAAATTCTTCCACGTTCCCAAATATCTGGAAAAGAGCAACCATCTGTCCAGTATGCAGAAAAGGAGATGTAGCAGAAATAAAGAATTATAGACCTATTTCTCTTCTCTGCAATTTTTCCAAAGTTTTTGAATCTATAATTTATAAACATATCTATTCCTCAATTAAAATGTTTTTGTCGCCTCACCAACATGGATTTATGGAGAAACGTTCCACAATTTCAAACTTAGCCTGCTTTACACAATTTACGTCCAAAGCAATTGATAATCGTCAGCAAGTAGATACTATTTATTTTGACTTTCAGAAAGCGTTTGATCAAATTGATCACTTTATACTACTCGACAAATTAAAAAGATTTGGTTTCTCAGAAGGTCTTTTAAAACTTTTTGAATCATACTTATTTAATCGTGAACAATATGTTAAATATCGCAATTACAAATCGAATATTATTAAGCCCGCCTCTGGTGTTCCACAAGGTTCTAACCTCGGCCCCTTGCTTTTCCTACTTTTTATAAATGATCTTGGAGATGTAATTTCATGTCAGAAATTATTTTTTGCAGACGACCTTAAATTGTTTTTAAAAATTACCTCAACATTGGACTGCCAACAGTTACAACAAAATATATGCTCAGTATGCGACTGGGCTTCCAAAAATAGATTGTCGTTAAACAAAGATAAATGCTTTGCTATGACCTACTCTAGAAAAAAAGAGAACATCATTTTTCCCTATCGAATTGAAAACAGTTTAATAAATAGAACTGAAAGGATTAAAGATCTAGGTATACTCTTTGATACTAAACTTCGGTTTATAGAGCACATTCATGAGATGGTATCCAAAAGTTTTAGAACGTAGGGATTTATCTACAGAAATTGCCGAGATTTTACTTATACACGAACCTTGTGTTCTCTATTCTTTTCTCTGGTGCGATCACAACTTGAATACGGAGCTTTAATTTGGTTCCCAATATATCAGATTCACATTCAACATATTGAACACGTCCAACGTGTTTTTTTTAAATTTCTATGTTTTCTACTTGATGGTACTTACCCAGCAAGAGGCTATGACCATTCTGCATTACTCTCAAGATTTGATTTTTTACCTCTCCACTTAAGGAGAATTATAATA